ACACATTATAAAGAGCCCATGTTTTGTTGCCATTTTAACAGCTGGGAGTGATGCACGGTGCTGGGATTGAGTTTAGTTCAAACATAATGACTTCTTTCCATTTTTAATTCACTTACTTTGAGGCTACCAGTAGTTAAAATGAGGCAGTACATGCCAGAACCCCAATGTAAGAAATAATTCTGTGATTTTTAAGTTTTGATGAAGCCACCAAACAGGGTTAAGAGGGGGTGTATCTGAACTGATAAGCATCTTTAGTTCTTATTCTGCACCTCTTGGTTTTGTGTTTTTCTCAATGTGTGCTTTATATACGTTTATGTATATATATGTAATGCAAATAGATCTATACGTGAACTATATGTACATACTTATATAAAATGTAATCAGGAGCCTTACTCTTCTTCTTCTGTGATTTTGAAGGGTATTTTCCCCTTTGTATCTGTCACAACAGTTACAGAGCGCTAGCCTAACACAATAAATTTCTTCTGAAACCTTTTCCAAACTCCTGTTTATGGCTGGAAAAGAAATGACTGCTGCAGCTCGCTGTGTTTGCCATGAACAATTTTTGAAGTGACAGTGATGAATTTTACATAACTCTTTGCTTTTTTGTGATGTAAGCAGGTGTTTTGTCACCCAGCATCATACCAGCTCTGCCCTGAGCATTGCATTGCATATTCCCTGGAGGTATCCTGGGGCAGATTGTGCTATAAAGCAGTCAGTATGTACAAACAGTAGCAACTTTTCTAAATGTAAATAGAGTGGGCAAGACCATTTGTAGCGTGGGGTGTGTTTGTGTGTGTTTGCCAAATGGTATCTACTCCAGCTGAGCACAGAGAGCTGTGGAAAGCTCATGAGATCGTTTTGGAGCCTTTGGGGAGGAGGAAGAAGGGGCTCTTGTATCAGCTTCAGTCTATTCTGCAATCCCACAGCCATTTCATCCACAGGTTCAAATGCTTTTTTCCAGTTCAGCTGTTCTCCTACAGCCTGGATTAATTGTTTTACCACTGCACGTATTTAATGTTGCTCTCATGTGCTGTGTTTTGGATTGTTCAGCTCCCCTCCTGCTCCTAATTTTGACTCTCGTGCACAATGACCACGACAACGATGTTATGCAACGCTTTTAACCCATATATATAAAACCTCTGTCAAAAGCAATTAAATTTAATTGCTGCCATCTTTCTTGATGGAAAGCACAAAAAAAAAAAATTAAGGGCACTCTCATCTGACGGCAAATTATCTGCAGACAGAGATGGTCTACAACTTTGCCAAAATGCTTTTGATTTTCTGTACTGCCAATGTTTAGTGCCATCTCAGCTGTTCGTTGACACACGGGAACTGCATTTTGCTTGTTCAGCTCATTGAAGTGTGGGAGGTAAATAAAAAAACCCACACCATGGGTTTTTACCATGACTCCTGCTTCAGTATGAATCTTTTGACCCATGTTTCCCATGAGATGAGGAACCTTGGCCACTTGGGTTCCGTGAGATGCTCTTCAGCACTGGAAGCTGAAAATAGGATATGTAGGATGGGATAATAGGTTTCCACGCATTGGTTTTTTATCCTAATCAGAGCCAGAACCTCTGATCTAGAAATAATATCACTGCAATAGACTTCTATATACTTTTCTCTATGAATTTGTCCAGTGGAAACTTCTAGCATCCATAAAATGTCTGGAGGCAGAAAAATCTGCAGTTGGTTCATGCAGTAGGTGAAGAAATATCTCCCTTTGTTCTGGCCTGCTAATTTCCTTCCATCAGGTTTACCAGCCAATGCATTTAATGTTAGACTGATTTCAATGGCAAAGATTAATTCAAAGCACAAAACTTTTCTTCCAAAGAATTCGGGTGTTGCTATCCAGGTGCTTAGCACCGTTTCATTCTTTCCAGAGGCAAATTTAGACTGAGATGCATGCTTTCAATTGGAGATGCATTTACTAAAGCTTAGAAGAGCTGTGGTCCAAGAATTCATTGCACTCAGTGCTCTGCAATTCTAATTATATGGTAATTTCTATCATTTGTGTATGAAATTCTGTGAAATGAGAGAAAATAGAACTAATTAGAGAAATGTTACCTTCTGTAGATAGAGCCGTTTCGAGGATAAGATTGTTTTAAATGTACAACATTGCTTTTTTCAGTCTTTGCATCTTAACTCAGTCACAGGATACTTTCCCTATGTTTTGTAGGTTTATTTCAACAGAAATAGCATCAACTTTTTTTTTCCCTTGGCTCAGATCGCTGGCTTCATGCGCTGTGTAGGTGTTTTTCAAACACACACACCGTGCTTGGAAGCAACTGTGTTCTGAGATAGGATATTATGTCCTGCCCTTCACATCAAGGTGTAATCATGCATGACAAGCTGCCATTCTACACATTTCCAGACATTTTATTATCGCAGATCATTTTAAGAAACTTCCTGGGAAGGTAAAACATCTCCTCACTTATCTGCCTTTTCAGCCAGAAGCGCAACGGAGTGGCTTGGGATGCAGACTGAAAGGGTCAGCCATTAGGAAGGCTCTCAGATCACCTTTGTCTTTACACACATCCTGACAGCTTATCTGGGTGCTAACTCTGGGCACCACTGCTCTCATCTGTTTGCAGCTATGTGTGAGAAAGGACTTTGCTCCAGGGCAGGTGGTGGTTCATGCTGTGCCAGAGCTGACAGCAGAGCACCTCAGCTCTCCCCATGAGTATAAACACGGCTGCTTTTATTCCTCTAAATTCTTTGGGTATAGTGCCATTGCTCAGTCTGCAGCAACAGCAGAAGTAGTTCCAGTGGGAATCAGCTCTGGGAAGTGTTCAGCTAGCTGAAAGGAAGGAACAGAGGCTATTCATCATCCAGCAGCGATGGAAAAGTGGTTGCTGTAGAAACCTTTTCCAGATCTGGTAACTGTCAGGAATCAGAAGGTGCCTGCTGCCGTGGCAGAGCTCCCACACACAGGGCAGCTTGCAGCCTGCTGGGGACATCTGAGGTGTTCTGGCTGCCTGCCTGGAGGGGAGACCCAGCCATCCCATTGGCATCCCTCTGGGCAGAGAGTGCTGCACAGCCACGGTCGCCCCAGATGTGTTTCCCAGTACTGCTCCATCCATCACAGCACATTCCCCAGTGCTTTTCTTCAACTCAGATGCAAAAGCAGCAAGGGGACTGAATGGATTTTAGATTGGGCGGGCAGCAAAAGCTGTGCAAGAGCACCTGTACCACCTGCAGGGGATGAGGCTTGCTCTCCCCTGGAGCATTCATTGAAGTGTGCAGCAGTGCGAGCCTCCTGCTGCTGACAGGGAGCAGAACTGGAATTCAAAGGACATCATTGATAAAACAGCAAATCAGACGTGTATTTACCTAAAGTTCTGAAAATTGCAGATTAATGGCAATGATGTCCTAAGCTCATTGCAACAGAGAGCAGGAGGCTTGGAGTGCGATCATAGCTTCATGAAGTCACAATTTAACCAAGCTCAATGGGTGTTTAGAGCAGAGGTGCTTTTTGAAGTGGAGAGGCTCCATCTGCACAGCACTTAGTTTCCTTTGGTAAGGATCTCTTAAATGCTTGCTGCTTTCATATCCATCCAGTGTCAGTTTCCTATCCATCCAACGTCAGTCCCTCTGGCAGTCATGGTGCAGAATTGCTGGAAGAGCAAGCGTATCTCCCCAGGCCTGAGCTCTTCTGCTGTGGGTTTTGTGAGTTACTCAGAAGTTCTGTGGATTTCCCAGTGCTAAATGAGCTCTTGTGTTTGAGCTGTTCTGCTCTGCTCCCTGAGAAGTGTTCATTGGCTCCATCAGGACAATTCTTAATCATTTCCTCTGCTTCCATTCATCTTATGTTTTTGCATGTAAGGTAATACGGGTCTTTCTTTGTCTGAGTCATTTGTTTCAAAATGTGCTTTCTGAGCCTGATATTTCCCTCTTTCCATTTGGGGTTGATAACATGAAGTAGCAATTTTCTTACTGTAACAGTGGTTCTGTAGTGTGACGTCGCTGGTCCTTGGGGTAGACTTCAAGATTGCTTTAGATATCTGTGCTCTGAATGAAGATACAAGAATATCTCATTATGCAACTATTATGAAATCTCTCATGTTTCCAGCTGCTGTAGATACTGTTGATTTATTTTGCTATGTGTGCTAGAAGCCCAGTGCTTGGCAAGGACGCACCACTGATCTCACGCAATCCATTCTGGGCATTAGCGCACAGGAGTATCATCCAAAAATCAATTTTCTCTGAGCTTTAATTGAAATTCCGGTGCCTCCTGAGGATCTCTCTGGGTCACTTTTATTCTCAAGCCGTGCTTCAGCCCTGAGTAAACTAATTCACAAACACAGGCTCCCAAATCAGCTGTGTGCCAGCTGCTGTCAGACGTGGCTGTCAGTGCTCTCTATTGGTCTGCTTGTTCCTCCAAACAGTACCGCTCAGTTCTACCCCCAAAGCAATTTTTTAGCTTTAGCCACTCAATCCCAGCTGCTACGTGAGGTGGCAAGTATTGCTCTGTTTTTAAGGGAAACCAGCTGGGGAGAATGTTTAAGAGAAGTAGCAAATGTTGGCTGGTGGTTGGACTGTCAGTAGGAGAGCTGTTGGCTACCTGTCTCCTGGGAAGACAGAAATTAAGGAGTAGAATCGATCTGATTAAAGCTCGTATCACCCAGCACTATGTAATCCATTGAAAAACTGTGATTAACCAATGATAATTAAATGGAGTATTGGTAGAACGTGTGGGGAAAAGTGCAAAAGGGGACAGCAATGGGAATGGTCACCTGGAGGCGTTGCCCAATTAATGTCTCTTCATGTTTAACTACTGCCACAATGAGTCTTCGAAAACAGCTGTGTGAAACTGGCTGTGGGTTTGTGGAGCTGGCAGGATACCCCCAGTGGGGTTTCCTTGTCTGCTCCTTGTGCACATACCTCTTTCTGGTACGGTAGAGTGAAAATACCCAAAAGCTCTCGGAAATGATGGCCTAGCTTCCCAAATTATTTCCTTTTCTTTTTTTCCTTTCATTTCTTTTCTCTCTATGTTTCAGATTATGCTTGGCCTTTGCCTAAACAGTTGTGCCCTATATGGATTTCCCTAGATGTGCTCTTTTCAACTGCATCTATAATGCATCTCTGTGCCATCTCTCTTGATCGGTATGTAGCAATACGCAATCCCATTGAGCACAGCCGCTTCAATTCCCGCACCAAGGCTATTATGAAAATTGCTGCAGTTTGGACCATATCCATAGGTAAGCAATGCGGCTCACGATCTTAACTGTGTCTTAATGAATAACAGTCGTCCTCCGATTTTCCTTTAGGATTTTTAAGGGGGTACTCAAATTAATTTACCTGGCCTGCATGACTGAATATAACAGATGATGACTGGGAAATAGAAATCTTTCGTTGTGGTTGGTGGGTGCCAAAAGTGGTCGTTTTCCAGAATCCCACCACTTCCCATGCAGAAGCATTGCTGCTGTGTGCATATCAATATGCCAATAACAAGGGTAATGCAGACGAAAGGAACTGTAATACTGCAGTGTAAACAAAGCAGAAAATAGCATTAGCAAAGAATCTGAACATAAAACCCGGCCAACACAAATGAGGTCTGCGCTGCTGTTGCCGCAGTTAAACTTCTTGCAGTTTAAGTAAGGCAGTGTGGACCTGAAGGCAGCTAACTGCCAGGTATTTATTGCCTCTGGTGCAGGCTTTATAGCCTGTATTACATTCCACTGCATCCAGATTGTTGCTGGGGCTGAGCTAGAGAGTTGGAAGTCGTAGTGAATGAGGAGCAGGCATAAAAGATGACAATTTTGTGTTACCTTGATAAGAAAAAAAAAGAAGTGGTAAATAAAGCAGCAGTAAAATAGATAAGAAAAGGAAAAATGATAGCAAGATGATGGTAGTATTTTTTATTATGCGAAGAAAAACATTTGGGGTAGAATTATTTTCATGCGGTCTAGAAAAGAGACATTTGGGGCAAGGTGAGAAAGGTTGGATGACCTCTTCCTTCTGTTGCATTGCCTTTTTTTTTTTTTTTTTTTTTTTTTTTTGCTTGAATAAAAAGCAGCCTGACAAGTATTTAATGTTTACCTTTCCTTTCGTAAAGCAGTTGTCAGTTCCTGAGTGGTATTTCGAGGAAAACAATGCTTCAGGTGCTTGAACTTCTCCTGGTTTTTGCTTTCCAGTTGTAGTGTGATCCTTGATGTCTGGGTGCTGCAGGGCCTGCTTCTGAAGAAGCTTGTCAAGGAAAATGCTGACGGAAACAAGGAAAAAAAGAGAGGAAATACGCCTTCTCTCTTCATGAGTGTAACAGGAACATGTTGGGAACACATTTTCATGTGGTACAGGCCTGCTGTATGTGTAACGTAACCCGCAGCAAAATTGCATTGGATTTAATAAATTCATTCTGGGATAGGAAAGAAAGGTGCTGAATTCAGTGCATGAGCGTTTGCATGCAGACAGCCTCCCCTGCAGGACCCTCAGGCAAAGCCAGCTCTGAGCTCATGCAGCATTTTGCACTGGAGCTCCAAGAGAGCAGCCAGCAGCCAGCAGGGCCCTTCATCTGTCAGCAGCATCAAGCAGCACATTGCAGAAGCCCACGGATGGGACCATTCTGCTCCCACTACTGGAGCAAACTTGCACATTTTTGCCTGCATGCTGCAGATGTATCCTTGGATAAGCTTGCTGCTGAACGTGGGCGCCTGCACAAGGCATTTTGAGGGCTGAGCTGTGGTTTGGATGGTGGGTCCAAATGAAATCAGATGAAGAATACTTCATGTGTAGCTCACTGAGTAAGCAGACTGGCACACAGCTCTGGGGCCTGAGCAAATAGATGGAAAGCAGGTGTAGGGCTGCTTCTTCCTGGAGTTACTGAGGGTGGGGATGGCTCAGGATGATGGAAATCAGGAGCACTGCAGGCTCTACTGTTCTCTGAGCGCAAAAGTACTGAACTGGGAAAGGTAAGGTGATTTTGTTCTGTTGCGGTGTTGAATTGCTTCACTGCTGCCTAGATGTCTTGTGTGGTGTTGAGCACTCTGCATTCACAATAGGGTGTGAAAAGAGCTTGGAAAGGAGCTGGAAGGGCACTTTTCTTTCGACGCATGGCTTCTGAGCCATCAGTGAGACACTGGGTGCTGATTTAATCCCCAGCATCCAGAGGCTTTTAGGAAGAAGCTGTGAGCGATCTCTCAGCAGATGTCTGCATTGTCTGGATTCTGGTGATGTTTTGCTCATCCCTTTTGCTGTAGATACAGCTGATCCATGGAAGTCTTTCCTTGCATGCCTTTTTGTGAAGATGGAGTCAGAATCAATAATTCTGTTCAGGATGTGGAGCAGCAGGGCGCTGAAATGCTGCTGGTTTTCTGTCCTCCCCAATTCATGTGATAGCATTTATCTATCTACTCAGACTTTCTCAATGAGGTTGTATTAGCAGGGAAAGAAAAGCACTCTTGGTATGTCTCTAGCTTATTTAGCATAACTATTTTAACTTCATAAACCAATGCAGAATTGTGACAGACAAAGGAATCAACTGAACATGAAATGAAAGAGAAGAACCTGCCTCAGGTTTGTTACACACCAGTTCCACCCCACCTGTCACTTGTTAAGACCTTATGAAAACTCACACCACTCTCAGGAGGATGAAGTGGGTTGAGCAAATTCACCCCCCTTCAGTGTCAGTATCACAAAATAATCTGTGCATCACGGCAGGAAATCAAGTAACAGTTCCTAAATAGAACAAAGTTCGGACCAGTCAGTTTGTATTTCCCAAATTCTGCTTCAGTTGGACCAAAGAAGCTTTTAAATATATCCCAAGTAAAGAATCCTGAATTCTGTTCCCCGATCAGAGTGTAAAATCAGAAGGCAAAAGCATGGCATCTCTCTGAATAGAGGAGTTCTGCATTCCATTTTCCTGAAATATTAATGCTGGCAGCAAAATATATGATAGAGGTTCTTTGATCACTGAGCTATGAATTTGGCAGGTTGCACAAGCCGAAACTCATGGCTGGATTTTGAAGCAGAGGAACACGAGAGGTCCTCCCGTCTGTTGGCAATTGCTTTGCAAATGGATCTGTTCCAATGTCCTCTTTGTTCTGCATCTAAAGTGCGTCACAGTCAGCTGCCCTGTGTCTGAGCAAACAGAACCAAAGCCACATTCTGTGTCTGGGTGGAGAAAAGTGGGTGCTGTGGAGTGCTGGGCTGAGTGCCTTGTGAACAGGGCTTTCATGACAGTGCTCTGCAGAAGCTGCAAATAGAAATGTAGGCAACGGAAATGGCCACACAATTGAAAGTGAAAATAAACTATGGCGATGAGCTTGCTGGCAGAATTGGGATGTTTCCTGGCTTCGGGCTTTGCACTGTTGCAGGTGGAAAGGTTTACACTAAAACGTGTACCTGACTCTCTTATCCTGCCCTGAGAAAGGTGACCTTGGGCCATTTTTCCTGTTAGATTAAAGGGAGAGAGAAGATCTCCATGCAGCATTTGGAAGGGGCAGTGAGGCAGCCAGACTACATGCACACATCATGATAGAGGGAAAAGCATTAAAGTACCATCAAAGATGCAGGCTGTGCAGCCTCCTTCATACATGTCATCCTAACAGTGTCCTTACGGGGCTTTCAGCTCTCAGCTGAGTCTCTCCCTGTCACACTTGATGGAACATTTTTAGAGTGGCATTGCTGGTATTAGAAGGAGTTGTATTTTTTTTACAGGCTAAAGACAGATATTGCATGGAAATGATGGCTGAGGCTGCTAGGAGCTGCCATTCAGCTGTTCTTGGGAATGAGATCGCGCACCCATGTGTTTGTTTGCAGACTTCAGGCCCCAGAGAGCAAACAAAGCTTTGGACAGATATCATGGAAGAGTTGGCCAAAACACCACTAATGGGGGAGTCAACCATTGGAGAGTCTAATGCACTCCTAGGATTTTGCTGAGACCTTTCTTACTAAGCAGGATTGTTCTATTTGTGGCCTATCCCTTGGTCATTACCTTGCTTTATGGCTTAGAATGCAGCACTAAGGCTTCTTCTGCCTTCGTTTCCCATCTGTTTAAATTGTCTACAAGGTTGTTTTCTCTGAAGCCATTCTTCTGCCTGAGCTGCTGTAGCTTGATTCCCAAGGGAGCATCAATCTCTCTGGCACATCAGCAGCAGTTATTGGGGTGATGAAGACCATAGCAGTTGAAAAGCTGAGTTTGTAGCAAGGGAACTGCCTTGGCATTTCTTTATGGACGCTGAACTTAGTTTGATTTTGACATCAAACCCCAGTGAAATATTTTACCATAGAGAGCAGCAGGTGGTGACAGTCTGTGTTTTGTGCAGAAGATGGATTGACCATCCTAGCAGATGCACTCCTGGGCAAAAGGGAGACACTGCTGTGTCCTACTTGAGGTTGCTGCTCCTGGGCATGAGGTCAGGAATTGCTGTGTGATTTTAGCGAAGCAAGAGAACTAACTTAGCAAAATAGAGGGGCAGGTGGGAAAGTCATTTATTTCTTTTGTCTTCTACTGTCATTTACTAGTTTTCCTTCTGGGCTTGGGTTGTTCAGCGCTCTTACAAGGTTTAAGTAAAGGTCAGCAGCTTGCTCAGGCACAGGCAGTAATTGCTTTCCTCTGTTTGCAGTTGTGCTCTTTGCAGGCAGGGAGATCCTTCGAAGTTCTGCCCTCTTTTATCTTTGCCTTTAAACCAACACAGGGCTGGCACCATTGTTCTGTTAGAACACTTTGATAAAATCAGGCCTAATCCATCCCTGAAGGTGCGTTGTTGCTGCATTAGCACATGAAATGCACTGCAATTAGTCTGCTGACATATGGGGAATATGGAATTTGTATGTTTTTGAATGCTTCAAAAGATGACATCCTTCAATTTGCTGCTGAAGAGCTTGCTTCCTGAAAACCAGTGCCTTTTCTTTCTTAATGCAAGTCAAGAGGCTGCTGTCTGCTGGGGTTTGTGCTGCTCACTGTCTGTTAGTTATTATTAGAGAAGCATGCAGGCATTTTGCAAGACACTTCAGTTAAGAAACCAAACAGAATTATTTTAGTGTTCTTTTTTTCTGAAAGTCTTTGGAGAGTCAGTTCTTTAATACTAATGCAGGGTTACAGCAGCTGCTAACATTCAGGTCAACCTACTAATAAGTATGAGGGCAAAGAAATGGACTTAAACAGGCAGCATTTATCATGGACAGCAGTGTTCTTGCCTTTGCAGCATAGGCAGCTGTTGTGACAGCCATAGGCTGTATGCCTGGCACACATCTCTTTCTCTCTGTTTCACCTGCAGTCCAGACCTGGGGCCCTCAGTACAAGAAAGATGCAGAGCTCTCGGAATGAGTCCAGAGGAGGGCCACTAAGATGATCAGAGAGCTGGAGCACCTCTCCTGTGAAAGAGGGAACTGGGCTTGTTTAGCTTGGAGCAGAGAAGGCTCTGGGCAGACCTCATTGTGGCCTTCCAGTACTTGAAGGGAGCGTATAAACAGGAGAGGGAATGGCTGTTTACGAGGGTGGATGGTGATGGGACAAGGGGAATGGTTTTAAACTGAGACAGGGAGGCTTTGGTTAGATCTTAGGAGGAAGTTTTTCACAGAGGATGATGAGGCACTGGAACAGGTTGCCCAAAGGAGGCTGTGGATGCCCCATCTCTGGAGGCATTCAAGGCCAGGCTGGATGTGGCTCTGGGCAGCCTGGTCTGCTGGTTGGTGACCCTGCACATAGCAGGGGGTTGGAATTGGATGAGCATTGTGCTCCTTTTCAACCTGGGTGATTCTGTGATATTCTATGATATCTTTTCATCGTGTACAAATGCCAAGAGGGTGATGGTGAGGGCCAAAGCCCACCTGCGTTAGCAGAGCCCTCACCATCATTCATAGCAGGCTTTGGATCCATTTCTGACACAGGAAGGGCTCCCAGCACCCCCAGGTATGAGCAGAAAAACATTTCTCCACTTTTGTTCAACACTGAGAATCCCACATGTGGAAAGGCAAAGTAAACAGCGGGCTCATGTTTCCTTTACTGAGATTGTTATCCCTGAAGGAAATCAAATCTCTTCTCATACAAGAATGTTGTGAAACAGAATGAGAATTATTTCCTTTCTTAGCGGAAAAAAGCCATGAAAAACTCCACCTTTCCAGTAATCTCCATCAGTCTCATAGGCTTTCATGAAAGAAAACAAGTTATTGAACACAAACACAGTATTGTTTTTCATTTACTCCTACATTTCATGACTGTCAGTTATACATTCAGATTTTTTACCTGGCTTTTTCTGGAACACGTTGAGGAAATGTTTTACAAAGCCATATTGGTAATCATTTGGGTTTTGTTTTATTAATTGTGAATCTGTGGAGAGCATCTGTTACTCTGTGTCTGCAGCATTGTCTTGGCCCTGTTTGATGAGCTACTCTGCTGGCTTGAGAACAGTTCTGATGATGACAAGAAGCAGCAATGGTAGAACTGCTGTAAGGATGGTGATTAGTGTGCCAGCTTGGTGCAAGGATGAGGTCTGGGGGACGTTCTGCAGCAGGGCTCAGAGCTGAGCAGTGGTTGGCTCAGCCCCTGTGCTGGAGGAGTGAGGTTGGCTGCCCTCTGAGCAGATGATCTCTGTTCTTAAACTGCGAACGGTGGCAGCTACAGCATTAGTACTGTGGGTGATTCGGTTCAAGAGGAGTATAATGCCTTCTCTGTGCTCGTTCCAACAGCTGAATTGAAACAAGGCAGGGACTCCTGCTTACCTTCGTTCAGATGCCACAGGGATGCTTACTGGTATACGCAGCACACGGTGATCGGGGTAAGCTATTAAAACCAAGGTCAGGCTGTGAGCTGTGGCTGCAAGGAGATTTGTGCATTTGGGATTGTGGCAGCTGTGATGTTGTAGGAACCCTCCCACAGAAGGAAACCTCTCTGGGGTATCTGAGACCTTCACAGCCCTTCACTTCTCTCTGCTGGGGGTGTAGAGTTGCTCCCATTGCCCAACAGACTCGGTTCCCCCTGGGGATAGATTGTGGGGTGAATCAGTGATAAGGCTCATATTAAAGAGTTCAATTTATGAAGCTATGATTAAAACATGTACCTGCTGTAACAAAATGAGCTGCAAAGGAGAAGTGTGAGGCATTTGAGATGAGATGAATGCTGCCTGTTCATCAGTAGTGCTGTAGGATAGCCGGCAGCTGAATGAATACAAGTTGGCAAGCTCCTTGGAGGGCATCTTTCCTCCTCCTGCTGTTTAATAATGGGATTTGCCTGGATAGGAGGAAGGAGCAAGCAAAGACCTGGTGATCACTCTTTTCTGTGCTTTCTCTATTTTAAATCCCACTTTGTTATGAAGGAGGTGGCAGGCATTTTCCCATTACCACTGCTACCTCCTTGTTCCCTGTGGTCAGTGCTGGGGAATCTCATGCTCACACAGAGATTTAGAATGCCATCAGCACTCCTGACTTGTATATATACTCATCATACCCCAGAACTAGATCATTCTTCCTGAACGTACTTTGTGTGTGGCCGTGAGGTGAAACCTCATCTCATTTCCTTTGATGAAAGCAATAACACTAAATTCCATGATGAATACTTCATGAATAAGCCTGTATTCCTTTCTGTGGTTTGTTTCAAGGGATATGTGTTTTACAAGACTCTAAAGTATAAAGCTACACATGTAAATACAATCCCAGCATAATGTCATTGATTTAAATCAGATTTTTTCTTTGTGCAAAGGCTGTTTGGTCCACCTCCCACCGTTTTTGGGATGTCTGGTATTTGATGGAGCCAAAGCATCAGAAAGAGGCATTTAACAATGAAGAGTCAGTGTCATGATTGGCTGAAGGTTATTTCAGTTACAGACTTGGTACAGGCAAGTTAAAAGATATGTTAGAGAGGAAGCAAGTACCTTGCTAAGGGTAAGCTGATAAGCAGTAGTGGGATTATCACTTGGGTTAAGGAGCGCATGCTGTAATCACAGGAGGCATTTATATTCATTACTTTTCGAGAAGAAATTCCTTCACTGACTTACTGGCAAATGGTAATTATATGGTAATGACAGATTGCAGATGTATTCTTCAGAATCTTGGAAAACACTTAGCTGGAATGGGAAAAATGCCCTGGTTAATATCTTTAGCATGTTACTCTCTCTCTCTTTAGAAATTCAGACTCTCAGAGGAATAGCTCTAAGACATGTGCTGCTCACAGCTATCCAAAAAAAGCCAGCCAGACACAGCAGTGACCTCAACATCAGTTATTGTTGGGGAGAAGGAAGAGCATGGCCAGCCCTACAGATATGTGTAGAAGGAGAGCCCGTGGCCAGGCAGGAGCTATGGGAGAAGCAATGGGGGAACAAGAGCCATTCTGCTGCTCCTTTCTGCTCATTCTGAGCCATGATGATCTAGCTAGATCTGGCCCACCGTGTCTCTTCTGACATGTACATAGGTAAAGAGATTCCAAAACATTTTGTTGTTGCTTCTGGCTATGTGTAGACAGATTTCCTTGGAAGGCTTCAAGTCTCTTCCGATGTGGGACTGAGATCCCACGTGCCAAAGAGTTCAGCAGCATGGACACAGCTGTCTGCAGAGACCCTCTGGGCAGGACTCCTGCTGCTGCTCCAGGTCTGCCTGATGTCCTGAAATCCAGGACAAACCAGCTGCGCCTTTGGTAGGAATTTGAAGTAGGGTTGCTTGTAGTGCTTATCAGTTTCATGCTGTTTGTGGATGAATGTCTGGGCAGGCAGGGCATGCAGGGATCACTCTCTGCTTGCACCGCAATAAGGACCCAGAAAGCTGGGAGCTTTTCTTTCAGATGTCCATGTTGCCGTGGTAAAAGTAGCCATTTTTCTATCAGGATTATTTTAATGTCTTAACCAAACGTGTTTCCAATTCTTCATTCTTTTGCCTTTTGATCATTTTCTTTTGTAATATTCACTAATATCTACTCTGTGCCCGTGATTTCAAAAGCCCCCAGAGCAGCGTCCGGCTGTGACACAGCAATGGGATGACTGTCATTTCTACACCAACGAAGACTAGAAAAAGTGCTTGACAGAGCAGTTGTGTTGGTTTTGCTGTGTTGCTGTGGAGCACAGCGAAGTTGTAATTGCTCCCAGTGAAGGGTGCTCACACCCTGGAGCTGCAGTCTGTGGAGTGTTGTTACATGAGGTTTTATCTTCCACGTGGAAGTAATAACTTCTCTTTCAGGCAGTCTTAGGCAGTGAGCTAAATGCATGCAGGATGTGCACCTTCTGTGCTCCCTCTTTGGAGCCCTGTCTGTCCTGTTGACCATGTCTTTTTCGTTCTTGTTCTTCTAGGGATATCTATGCCCATTCCAGTCATTGGTTTGCAGGATGACTCCAGAGTGTTCATCAATGGGACCTGCGTCCTCAATGATGAGAACTTTGTCCTCATTGGGTCTTTCATGGCGTTCTTCATCCCTCTCATCATCATGGTGATCACATATTGCCTGACCGTCCAGGTGCTGCAGAGACAGGCCACAGTGTTCATGTGTGGAGAGGTGCCCAAGCAGAGGAGAAGCAGCGTGAACTGCCTCAAGAAAGAAAACAACACAGAGCACATTTCGATGCTTCACAACCACGAAGGGGCATCGCATTTGAACTCTCCTGTGAGTAAGGAGGCAGTGCTTTTTCGGAAAGGAACTATGCAGTCCATCAACAATGAGCGAAGAGCCTCCAAGGTCCTGGGCATCGTTTTCTTTTTGTTTCTCATCATGTGGTGCCCATTCTTCATCACCAACGTCATGTCCGTCCTTTGCAAGGAAGCCTGCGATAAAGACCTCTTGAGCGAGCTCCTCGACGTGTTTGTTTGGGTGGGGTATGTTTGCTCAGGGGTTAATCCCCTCGTATACACACTCTTCAATAAAACCTACCGCAGGGCTTTCTCCAGTTATATCCGCTGCCAATACAAGACCAGCAAAAAATCAGCACTGCGACAGAATCAGTGCCTGAATGTTGCTTCGACAGCTTTATACGGGAAAGATCTGACTTTAACTAGTTATCGAAATGGCAATGAGCTCAACAGCATGGAACTAGATGAAGCTGAGGAGGGCCTTGAAATGCAACCGGGGACCTCAGAGCTCTCCATAAACAGCTGTAATGTTGTGAGCGAAAGAGTGAGCTGTGTGTAAAGGTGGCTCACGCACCTTCGACTACGGGCCATCTGTGGCCAAAACACATTGTATAAAAATGTAAGCGTTGGTCAATGGACGATGTAAATACTGCATTCTGAACAAAGATTTTTTTTAAGGAGAAAAAAAAAAAAAGAGATTTGTCTTTCCAGTCCAGTACTTAAAATCATATATATTAATATTCTGCAGTGAAGTTTAAGGTTCTATATTTACTGTTAATACTAGATCAGATCTAGTTACTTTGCATATGTCATGGACAAAATGTTTGAATTCTTCTTCCAGTGCATGAACAAAAATGCTGAATATTTATCTCAGGTGGCATTTGCTGGAGTCCAGAATGGCACGTTAATAGTTATATATCAAATACATGCTATTAGACTTGGTCAGTATAACTTTCTTTTTCAAGTTGACAGTAAATATATACTTTAAATCCTCACCCCTATTTGTGCCGTGTAAAGAGTGTACAGAAACCTGGCAGAGACAGCACGAGAGCTGTAGGCAGCTGTCCAGGTGTGTCGTGGTAAGAGTCGTGGCTCGCTTGCATCCTGGGGCAGCATTTCACTTCTAGGGACCATCCTGCTGCTTCCTCTCCATTCACCAGTTTGATCCTAGGTTGGGAATGTGTTTCTGGTGTGGTGTTGGGATCGCTTGCAAACTTGGAGGGGAAGCATGGGAAAGAGAGCCAACTTGTTATCTGCTTTAACCATTTTAAAAATGAAGGGTGTCAGATTTGTAAAATGCCCTCTCTTGTTCTTGTAGACTCCCATGTACTCCAGGATGGGGGAAGCAGTACTCAGAATGGCTGGCACTGCCTTCAAAGGACCATTTGGATGATCAGGTCATTGGTTGACCTGGAGAGGAGAGCTCTGGCTTTTGAGAGCTCACCTTCTCCATCCCCTCACTTCTTTAGTCGTTAGCTTGTTTTGCATTTATTTTTCCAGAGACAGGGATGTGCAGTGCTGGGGGTAAAAGAATGCATTGGATGTAGAGCAAAATGTGCCATGCTCTCGGCACAGGTCGGGAGGAGGCTGCGGGATGAGGGATGCTCTTCCCCAGAGGATGCTCAGAAGAGAGGCATAAATGAGGATCCCTTTTTTCCCCAGACTTGGGACGGGTGTGCAGAGCTGAACAGGGTGTGTGGCTGGAACAGTTTGCTATAGTTTAATAACAAACTATGATCAGAGACAGAAAGGAAGCAGACAAGGAATTACAACTTGGAACACGTCTCTATGGAAGATTAATCTGGATTATCTGTTCAGTTTGATTTACTCAATTTCACTCCCAAAGTAAATGATCCTATATCATGTTAAAGCCACTTATATCTTAATGAAAACATCCACATCATGTTTTAATGCAATTGAAGTAATCTGCTTTTAATTCACACCATAAGCAATTGGAATTAATTCCTCTCTGTGCTCCTGTGTAGACAAACCCTGAAAGGCACCAACACGTCCTTCTGGCACAGTGCCTGTGGGCGATGCCACTTGTGCAGTTTGCCTTGTGCAGGGTGCTGTGCGATGCCAGATCTAACCTGTAATGTTTTTACATCTTCATTAACTAACACACAAATGCTGCAGTCATCCATCTAACGTGGATGTATTTAGCACTGCTAACAGCCTCTGCCCATGAAATTCCTCAGAACAAGAAGCGTACATGAGGCAGGGATAAGTTGCATTTTACTGATGTGAACTGCTTGCACTCTAAGCTTGCTGTGCTCATCCCCTCCAGAACCCAAGTGAAGGAGAAACACAACATTCTGAAAGCACACTGATGCAGTGTAGCGCTATTGCTTTGCTGTACACAGCAATACCTGGCTGAGGCAGGTTGCATCTGCTGCTGGTTTGTGTCAAGCTTGATTCAGTGAAGCTGGTGGCTCTCTCTTGTCCTTCATTCCGTCCTGTGCAAAATCCGTAGTACTTCCATGCAGGCAGGCGAGGTATCTGAGCAAGGTGCATGGTGTGTGTGTGCTGGTCTGCTGATGATGGTGCTGGTTGAATGCTTGAGAATGCACCCTGCCTGTCCAGAAAGCCCACAGGAAAAGCACTGTCCAGAGACACAGACTTGTGCCTTCAATGACTGCCCTTTGTTCTGTGTCAGATGTGGATATCTCAAGTGGTACAGAAAAATCACAAAGATCGCATTGCTTTCAAAATTCTACTTTTATTTTTTTCCTTGGGTGAATTCACAGCTCATCTTTTACAGCCATATATTTGTCTGTGTGTATATATGTGCGTGTACATATATATATGCATGTATGGATAGAAGTCAACCAGACATGGAAAGCATTTAGCAATAAGTTGTATTTCAGTAGCTTCTAGCACTCGTGTGAGTAGCTCATTGGCCACAGCATCCTCCAACTTGTACCACACAAAGGTGTTCTCTTTGCATAGGAGCCTTCACGTCTTACCTCTGCCAGTTCTGTTGTATGGGCAAAAAGGGCACCCGCTCTGTTGGATGTAAATAACAAGACCTGAACTGAGAGTTTACAGAGTTTTTATAAATGTTTTTAAAATAATTCAGCACTGGGACTGTAAATATGTCGAGCGTTGCTACACAGCTGGACCCGTTCTGATGGATGTTCTTCTCCAGATAACCAGACAAGGGGACTGCCTTATAGCCTGTGTTATCTCCCTGCCAGGGGCTGATAACATTTTTGGGAATGATTAAACACTGTCTCTTACCCAACTTCCATTGGGTCATTCACATCAGGGTTTTGTGATGCTGCTATTAATTTATTAAAGAAAGATTGTTGGTTTAATCACTCTTTTTTTTTTCTCTTTTTTTTTTTTTTCATGGTCTATTGGAAAATAAATAAATGGACATGCCCTCTTTTTCTTTCCTATTTCACCAATTAAAACGTATCCTGATCAAAAATATATCTGACCAAAGTTAAAATAACAGCGAGAAATGGAGATAACGATCTTTGTTTCTCCTCCCCCTCTCAGATCATAGCCTGTGGTTGTTTCAGCCATAGCAATTAGTGCAGATAACCCAACGTTTCTACCATGCTAAACAAAATAATGCTGAAAAGCAGCTGTCTTCCCCCGCTTCTCCTTCCTTCCTCCAGGAACATCTTTTGAAAATGATGTTTTAAAAATTGCTTCAGTTTGAAGAGTTAACCACCATCACCTCGCTCTCATAGCAGCTTTGCTATGCTGAATTGTAGCCATTACCCACAATAGTGCCTCAGGATTACCCTCTGTGGGCCCTGGATCAGTGCTCACATCTCAGCTCAGGTACAGTGATGTCTTCTGTTTGTTCTGCCTTTTGTGTTCTTCAAAGAAGAAAAGCAAACCACAAGTAGCTCTGCGTAAGTATTATTTAGCTTTTAATGAGGAGTGTTTGGTGTTCTGGCAGGCAAATGATGGTAACTCGGTGTTCCAAATGTGGCATCCATCATGTAAGAAAGATGCAGATGTCTCTTGGGCAGGTTTCCTCCCTGTGTCACGGTATGCTGACATGAGAATTGCACCTGGCTTGGTCTCTATTTCTCTCCAGGCAAAGAAAATTGTCAGAAATTCTTCGTGGGAAGGAGCTCCCAGAGGCCACCGAGACTTTGGGCGTTGTAATGGAAGTGTATTGGTGAAGTTGGGGGTACAGGTGGATGGCTGCAGACACTCAAGGCCAGTCTGGATGGGCTCTGAGCACTGATGGAGCTGTGGGTGTCCCTGCTCAGTGCAGGGATTTGGACCAGATGGCCTTTAAGGGTCCCTTCCAGCTCCAACGATTCACTGATTCTAAGTTGCTGTAACAAAATATGCTTTCATTTCTTTGTGCCTATGAAGTTGCTATTGACTGTTTTGTCTCTCCCTCATTTTTCTTCGAGTCCCAGGCCTCCTGCTTTTGGCTTTTACCCACTCTCTGAGCTCATGCTCTGGAGCTGTCAGGAGCTGACAAATACCTACGAGGTGTGTCATTCCCTCTTGGCTGTGCAGGGATGCTGCAACCCCAGAACAACACAGAGATGGAATGTCCTCAGGTGAGAGATTTTAAGTCTATCCGAGACAGACAGTCAATGCAGCAAGGCATGTTTGCCCATTAAACAAGCACACCAGCAGATCTTTAAGCAACAGTTACCCAAAAACTTAAAGGCAGATTAGCATGTGAACGCAATTTTGCCAGCAGTTTGCTGGGGCAATGCCTGCAGTTTTACCACACCAGCATCACTTTAGTAGTGGGGGGACTGGAGAAATGAATCAAGCAGCATCCAGCAGGGATGTGTTACACCCAGTGTTCTGAGCTTTCCTGTGCTCCAATTGTAATTACCTCAACAACAAGTCAGATAAATTAATATTTAATTAAAATACAGCCAAAATATCAAATTTTAATAGGATGTAATTGTGGCATTTTGAGTTATTTCAATTGCTGAAGCATTAAAAGCAATCTGCAGGCTGGTGCCTGTTAGACCACTGCCTGGTTGCAATTGCTGAAAGTGAAGGCAGTTTTACCTTTGTGTGCACCACTGCTGTGAGTGTCTCCTCCTGCAGAAACAAGCAGCAGAATGGGATGGTGCTGTGCTGGGTGTAAACCAGAGCCACTGAAGATTTGAATCAAGCTCCTGTTTGCTGACTGGAGGCTGGAGCAGCCCCTTGGTGACTTTTCGGAGAGGAAGATTTGGGATGTGTCATTCAACTTGCCACAAAGCAGGTAATGCAGCAAACCATGGTCAACAAATGGTACTTCTCCATAGTCAGTTCTGTGCTCCTTGAGAGTAAATGAGTATGATTTCCTGTTGTATCGCAGTCAGTTGGCACTTCTGCTTTAAAAAGTTTGGACTGGAATTAGAACAGTGCTGCAGTGGCACAGGGCTGCCCAGGGAGTGGTGGGGTCACCATCCATGGAGGTGCTCCAGAGCTGTGGGGATGTGGCACTGAGGGACGTGGGGATGGGCACAGTGGGGTGGGGTTGGACTTGGGGGTCTTAAAGGTCTTTCCTAACCTGAATGATTCTATGATTCTGTGACTGTGTAACGCCTGAGTGTCCATCCTAGGGACAAGCATGGGGAGGGGACACAGGATGGGCACTGGGTAGAAGTAGCACTTCTACCAGTATGAGAGTACAGATCTTGGCTTGTTCCTCCTGGCAACCAAAGATGGGGGAAGAAAGCTCTACAGGA